ATCACAATTTCAGGTTCCAATTCGTAAAAACCGGCTCGGAAATCGCTTCCAACCATTTCGTTGACTTCTTGGCTGGCCCAGCTTGTATCGTTTTTTTTTTCCTTGAAAGCCTCGAACAGACGGTCTCGTCGTAGAGGGGAGGCTGAGAATCAATCCCCGAACCTACACGCAAGGAGTTGTCTAGCACAGCAAGCCNNNNACGCAAGGAGTTGTCTAGCACAGCAAGCCAGCGAGCGCCCGCCTCCCCTCCCCGCCACACACGAACACAAGAAGCATCCACAGAGGACATCGAGAGCTCTCGGGGATGCCTCTACGCGCCGCGTGGTCTGTCCTGTCTGTCTGGGCGGCGTTGTTGGTATCGCTTGCAGTTGCGTTGCCGGCAGCGCCAGTTGGTGTTCCTCCTTGTACATCAGTGAACGTCTCGCTCGTCCAGCAACACCCTTGGTTTGCACGCTGGCACTGAGGACAGCGAGCTTGGCATGGAGGACAGCGGTTCTTATGTCGACCCAAATGAGGCTAGTGATGATGAGGATGACGATGCCGAGTTTGATATGGGCCCATCGTACAAACCGCTGTATGCTGCGAACTCGCANATGTCGACCCAAATGAGGCTAGTGATGATGAGGATGACGATGCCGAGTTTGATATGGGCCCATCGTACAAACCGCTGTACGCTGCGAACTCGCACAACTCTGGTCTCAACACGCGAGGGGCAGCTCGGCGGCAGCGACAACAGCAGTCGACCACGGCATCACCGGTCACGCCGCCGCTCCGGACGGTCTCGCGTGAGCCGCAACAGCTGCAGCTGCAGCGGCAACAGCAACAACAGCAGCATGAACGATGTCCACCGGAGCCTTCTCCTGCCAATAACTCGAACTCGCCTGACATAAGTGACAACACGGGCGCAGGTCGGCAACAGCGAGCACAACAACAGCGGACCCTGCCCCAACCAGTCACGCAGCAGCAGCAGCAGCTGCAGCAGCAGCAACCAGCCTCACCAGATGCTTCTCCGGCCAACTCTGCTGTATGTGTCGCTACCGTAGCCCGCGGCCGGAACAAAGGCCAAAAGTGCGGCAATAAGGTTAGAGGTAGGGTGCCAGGATTGTGCAGGCACCATGACGGCCAACAGAAGCGCCGCAAAACAGCATCTGGTGTAGCTCTTGGAGTGGGGAGCAGCGACGGGGTAGCCAATTATGACTCGGAGAACGAGTTGGGTGGTGGCGTGGACGAGCTGCAAATTCCTGGTGCGGACCCTCGCATAGCAAAGTCTCGGGGGGCGCACTACGCCCAGGCGGCGAAAATTCAGGATGCCGGCTTCAGGGGGGCTTACGAGAGTGTGTGGCACCTCAAGCTCCAGAAGCAGGAAAAACCCAAGGTGAGGCAGATAGCGTAAGCCTAATTTCCAGCGCTGGTATTTTTTCCTAGAAATGTCTCCGTGCATAATACTTTTAACGCCACGAGTACACAACGGTGCCGCCATTGTCTCTGTTCGATAGCGATACACATTTTTCTCATTGTTGTTGTTTGTTGTTTCTCACATTAGCTCTATGTAGGTGTTTGGTTCACAGCGGTATCATCGACCGGGCTTTGTGAGCGTCTGACCAATGCAAAGTTTTGGAGTCGCTAATTGCTTTAGGTGTCCTCTATGCCGGTTGTACTCTGACCAAACGTATACTCTTGAGCCTGCCTCATGCCATGTGTTATTTGGTACTGTGTTCGATTCAGTTCCTTCAGGTGCATCACTAGTTTCTATCGAATGAGCTCCATCAACTTCGGTGTTTGTTGTTGGCATTTTCCAGGAAGGTCAACCACCTCCACCGCCCCTCCCGGAAGATCCTCTGGAGTGGGTGTTGAAGGGACTACCGCGGGACGAGTCTTCCGAGCCGTACACCCGGAGAAACAAGCATCCCGGCGGCGACAAGTTCAGCCTATCGGACGACCTGAAGGCGAGCCTATCGAAGGTCGACAAAGCAGGGCTATCAGCTTTGCGGTCTTTCGTCAACGGCAAGGGCCAGGCTCTACCATTCACGTTCTTCGAGAAGACATTCCCGGAGGAGGCGCAGGACATCGTCCTGACGGAGGTGATGAAACCCAGGCTGGTTGTGCGTGACTTAGTTTTTTTGCAAGTTTCCCCCCCAAATCGTTGTTGTTTTTTGCGAACAAGAGAGTGGTGGAGTTGTGTTTATGTCACTCGCGACCGGAGTGAGGAAGAGTAGAACGTCCACAACTTTCACAGTAACACAGCGCGGACAATAGGTCGCGGTGCAGTATCCACCGTGCTGTTGTACCTCGTTGTGTAAGTGAGGCCATCCGTTTATCGTTATATGTTGAGATGTACAGGAGTCAGGCCCCGCTGGCCGAGGGGGGGGAAGACTCCCAGAAACCAGTACGTGTCAGAGTCGACGTAATGCAAAATGCAACAACAAAGGCAGTCAGCGACAACGCGTGAAAATCCTGGCGCAGTCCTTGGCGCTGCAAGCAGCGAAGATCGTCAGCAGCATGTATACGTTGAACATTGCACGGGACAATCGAGACTCACGTGTGTGTGTCTTCATGTCCACATGTGTACTCCAGCATGTTTGCGGTGTGAACCACCAACTGCCAAGAGATTTGGCATCCTTTTCCAGTTTGGTTTCACAGAATCCCTCTTGTGTCCCTCCCCTTCCCGCGCCGTTGCATCCCGCCGCTTCCCGCCATTTCACCAGACGAACAGGTATGTGAACTTCTGCGCCGACGAGTCTGATCCGCCGCCGGAACACCAGGAAGACCGGCACAGGAAGAAGAAGGTGGTTCGTGGATGTCAGGAGGTTCCGTCGAAGGAGATGGCGGACGGATCTCGAGAGTACGCCTTCGAGCGCAAGCACCTGTACGGCGTGATGGGTATCCTCATCACCACCGGACTGACCAAGAAGCCGAGGATCATCGATCACTGGGGCGTCGAAGCCCACGACAACAACCCCCTGGTCCGGGCCTGCATGCCTCGAGACCTCTTCATCCTGTTCTACGGTCGCTTCTTCCATTTGGCACCTCCCACCGGCAAGCTCAAGAAGGAGGATCTCCAGTACGACAGCAAACACCACATCAGGTATGCCCCATAGAAAAATACGCA